ATATGATCTGTTTCTGCACAATAGTCTGTTTTATGAATTCACTTCAAATCCAAAACGCAAAGACATCACTGTTTAACACACTTTTATTCAAAAATGTTCTAATAAATAATGTTTGTTCTATAAATGAACAAACTGGATTTTATCGAAGCTCATATAATACTTCATATTGCTGAAACTCACCTGAGGACTGTGAGTCCGGAGGATGAGGTCCGGTGTCGGGTCCTGAGAGGCAGTGAGTCGCAGAGGATCCGGAGAGGATGAGGAGGGTCTGGTGTCGGGATGTTTGAGGAACACTTCGTGACGTCATCATCGCCGCCGCGGAGGAATGTGGGAGCGGAGAACAGGTCGTTAACGTCGTTTCCCGCTGCGGGAGTTTAATGGGTTTGATGGGTTTGTTGCTCGGGCTCGAGGATGTGTCTCCCTCCACAGGCTGTTTAATAAACTCACTGATGCCAGGCATTGTGCTCATATTTGATATAGGTCAGTTGTAATGTCATTCGAGTCCACATTGTTTCAATGCATGAATCATAAATGTCCTCTACTGTTGAATCTGAGCAGTAAACTATAACATGCACTTGATCACTTTATGAAAGCATCCCTCCACATTACATTTGCATTTGCACATGTTCATGCATCTTGCAAGTTGCTCATGCATCACAAAACCTCATTAGTTTTTTTTTAAATAGATTAAAAAAAAATCTAATCCAATGGAAAGAGCAGTAAACTACGCCATGCACTTTATGATCACTTTATGATCAAACACCTCTCCAGATTAAACTCACAATTACAGAACTGATTTTTCCTGACTTTGCATTGGATTTTATTTTTAATGCATTCAAAAAAACTGTAACAAGGTTTTGTCATGCAAGTGCAACTTTCCATGATCATTTATGTTGCAATATTACATTAAAAAACTGTTTAAAAGGCATATTTGAATATATTCATTCATGTATTTATTACATGAACAATATTAAAATATTATGATTCATACACTAAATAATCTAAATTGGTCAAAACACATGACAACAATCCACAAAACAAGAAACGAATCCAAAATGTAATCATAAACACAAGAACTGCATATAGAGCCATAATCAAACCCACAATACCAGGAAACACAGGAAACGGAGCTCAGCTAATGAGACTGAATGAACCGTCAGGTTATTTGAGCATACAAACAGGACATGAAGCGCAGGTGTTGGAAATGAGACCGTGAGAACCATTGAGTCTCAATGAGTCCAAACAAACACACACTCTTTTCTTCTGAACACTGACGCACACAGCTAGGGTCTCTGGGGCCCCTGTGAAGGGTGTCGGGTCTCTGGGGCCCCTGTGCAGGGTGTCGAGTCTCTGGGGCCCCTGTGCAGGGTGTCGGGTCTCTGGGGTCCCTGAGAAGGGTGTCGGGTCTCTAGGGCCCCTGTGCAGGGTGTCGGGTCTCTGGGGCCCCTGTGAAGGGTGTCGGGTCTCTGGGCCCCCTGTGCAGGGTGTCGGGTCTCTGGGCCCCCTGGGCAGGGTGTCGGGTCTCTGGGGCCTCTGTGCAGGGTGTCAAGTCTCAGGGGCCCCTGTGCAGGGCGATCTGGCACCCTTGCCCCAACTCCATGTATGGCCCCTGAACTGGTTTTCAGGGACCTTCCAGAAAAGGTCTTAAACACCATCACTGAGGCTAGAACAACATCTACAAGATGCCTCTTTGCTTTAAAGTGGTCAGTATTTGCTGGCTGGTGCTCAGCCATAGACTTTGAGCCCCAATCATGTGAAGTGTCAGTGGTGCTCTTTCTTACAAGAGCTCCTGGATGCGTGCCGCTCCCCATCCATGCTCAAAGTGTACGTGATGGCCATGGCAGTTCACCATGCTCCTCTGGCTGGCCAGTCGCTGGGGAGAAACAACCTTATCATTCGTTTTCTCAAAGGAGCCAGGAGGTTGAACCCCCAGGTCTCCCACTATACCAGAATGGGTCTTTTCCACGGTCCTTGGGGTTACTTAGAAAGGGTCCTTAGTATGGCCACCCCGCTACAGACGGTCGACCTCAAACCACTTTCACTGAAGACTGCTCTGCTGCTGGCTTGGTATCAGTCAAGAGAGTGAGGGATTCTCTGTGAGCCCATCCTGCCTGGAATTTGGGATAAATGACTCCAGAGTCACTCTCAAGCCAAGGCACGGGTGTGTACCTAAGGTGCTGTCAACCCCGTTCAGAGCTCAGGTCATTACTCTGCTAGCACTTCCAGAAAATTGTGGTGGCACTAATCAGCTGTGTCCGGCTAGGGCTCTAAAAATATACTTGGAGTGTTCTGTACCGGTTAGGCGGTCACGAAAAAACAGAGACTATCCAGATGGATAGTGGACGCAATCTCGCTGGGTCCAGGTCTGTCCGATAGGTGCTAAAGCCCATTCCACGAGAGGCATAGAATCATCGTGGGCGTGGTCCGGTGGTGTACCAATTCAAGATATTTGTGCAGCGGCCAGCTGGTCCTCGCTGTCGACATTTCTCCGATTTTATAATCTGGAGGTTCCTTGCCTGCAGGCCAGGGTCCCCTCAGAGTGCATGTTACTGTCCATAAGCACAAGTAGGCCTAGGATGGTTATGAGTCCCAGTTTTAATCCTGAACCCGACCCGGTCCGGTTAGTGTCACTATACTGGGAGACTGATTATGGCATGTTCGTGTTGTTTACCTAGGCTCTGGTTAATTCAGCCAGTTGCTAATATGTAGCGTTTTACATTTTGTCCCCACTTCGTATTAGCTATGCAATATGAAGTGACCGTTCTCAAAAGGGAACGTAACCTTGGTTCCCTAAGAGTAAAGGAACGAGTATTGCATAGCCTGCCGTACTATTGCAACTGCCAGGATGTGTCGCTTCATCCGATTTAAACCTGGTATTTTTGCCCAAATTAGCGATCTTTATAGGCTTAGGCACTCCTGATCATCTAATCCCTCACCCTACCCAGCCTTAACCAGTGAGATCTGCATCAGGTCGGGCAAATCAAGCTTATATCTTAGGTTTTACACCCGATAGCTTGAATACATGAGAACAACTGTGCAGATCAACCATCTAATCTCTTATGGACGGTTTTTGGGACATTATTTGTATATGAATGACAGGCAATGGTGCATATATTACATATTTTTACTTAATGAATGACAGGCAATGAAAGGCAGACATAATCAAGTTATTAAAAGCTCAAACAAGAACTCCAGCATTGAGCAACTCTAAAATATTCAATAGATTCCCAGACCGCAACAACATTTAAACAGCCGAATTCATAGACAACCACAGCAGAAGTCAAGTAGTTTATACTTGAATCTTTAAAACAATGATCATTACTGACCAGAAACCACACATTTTTGTGAAATTTCTGGAAAATGTATAAATATGATATGAGGCTTAAATTATAATAAAAGCAACACAGTTAAAAAAACAACAACAACATGGGAATGTGTTCATGGAAATATTCAGGTAAATGGGAATCTCTATTTCCACCAGTGTCACGTGAGCTTTCAAAAGTAGGTTATTAAGTTTGAATGAAGGTGCATTTCAAATGTGTCCATAAAAACAAACAAGATGTAAAGCTTGTAACAGATCCTTATGATTTATGACAGCGTCACTGTAACTTTTATTCACGTCAGCGTTCTACAGACATCCAGGTGATGGACTAGAAGAAGCTGGTCTTGAGTTTGATGGTGGGCGCCGCTTGCACACTGGGCTGAGCCTGTCTGGCCGCCGCCTTGGCTTTGCTGTTGGCCTGTGTGGATCTGATGGCCGCCTCGAGCCGGGTCTTGAGTTCTGGCGCTGCCCCCATGACGGTCTTGAAGGCCGCGGGGTACAGCGGGCCGATGTGCATCAGGTTCTGCAGGGCGAACTCGTGCAGGCCTGTGGAGCAGCTGGGGGCCGTGGAGACACTCGTCTCGTCCAGCAGGTATGAGATGAGCGTTGGCACCAGCAGAGCCAGCAACTGAACTCCTGCGGGACACAGAGCGGGTTAAGGGAAGAACTTGACATGCAGCTGCTCATTTTTGTACTTTAATTGTGGTTTCAGGCTTCGCTGGATCTTTTCCAGTGCGTTAGAACTGGGCTCTGTTGGTGTGCGTGTAAACGTGCAGATTAAGGGTCGGGAGTATTATAATAAGAAATTTTATATTTTATAACATTCTCTCAGAGAAAGACTCACCAGATCAGAGTTACTGGGTTTTTATGTTTTCTGGGTTGGTAGAAAGCACCGTGACCAATTATGAAATCATGAAAAAGTTTAAGTGCTATGTCCCCTTTAAAGGTATTTGCGTATCAAATATGATATAGTAGGCTTTATTCGGTAACTGGCGAGCACTTACGGCTGTGTTCCTCTGCCATGGCGACGAGGCTCTCCAGCACTTTAACCCCGTCCTGTACGGCCTGTAGTTGGGCAGGCGTGGAGGGCCGGTTCTGCTCCACGCTCCTCAGCTGCTCCACGAGCCCCGGGGCCAGCGAGTGGATGTAGGGAGCCGAGAGAGCCCGGCACGGGTGCTGGAACACCGACAGCAGCAGCTGACAGCAGCGCCCCTGAGTCTAAGCACACACACACACACACATCCATGCTTTAAAGTGCCTCTGTTGTGCTGTTCCTGATAGCCCCTTTCATGGAGTGTGTAATAGAGATGTTTGTGAGTGTAAAAGGTCTGCAAAGTTTAAAAGTTATAAGAGTGGATAAATGTTGTAAGGTGCAGATAAAAGGAGGTTTTGTCTCTCAAAAGAAAGAAGTGATTCTGAACTGAAACAAATTGTCAGTAATTCAGTCTCACTTCCTGATGAACGCACACTGCCGTTCAAACGTTGGGGATCAATAAGATTTTTAATGTTTTTAAAACAGTCTCCTGCTCACCAAAGTTGCCTTTATTTGATTAAAAATAAAAAAAATACAGTAAAAACAGTTAAATATTTTTGTAATATAAATCCATCCATCTTCTTCCGCTTATCTAGGGCCGGGTCGTGGGGGCAGCAGTCTAAGCAGAGATGCCCAGACTTCCCTCTCCATATACACTTCCTCCAGCTCTTCCGGGGGACATAGTCTCTCCAGCGTGTCCTAGGTCTTCCCCGGGGTCTCCTCGCAGTGGGACGTGCCCGGAACACCTCCCCAGGGAGGTGTCCAGGAGGCATCCGGAACAGATGCCCAAGCCACCTCAGCTGACCCCTCTTGATGTGGAGGAGTAGCGGCTCTACTCTGAGCTCCTCCCGAGTGGCCGAGCTTCTCACCCTATCTCTAAGGGATCGCCCAGCCACCCTGCGGAGAAAGCTCATTTCAGCCGCCTGTATCCGGGATCTTGTCCTTTTGGTCATGACCCAAAGCTCATGATCATAGGTGAGAGTAGGAACGTAGATTGACCGGTAATTCGAGAGCTTTGCCTTACGGCTCAGCTCCTTCTTCACCACAACAGACCGGTTCACTGACCGCACAGAAGCTGCACCGATCCGTCTGTCAATCTCCCGTT